CTTTTTCTTTTTCTCTCTCTCTCTCTCTCTCTCTCTCTCTCTCTCTCTCTCTCTCTCTCTCTCTCTCTCTCTCTCTATCTTTCTATACTTTCTGATTATTTACAAAAAAACATTACCATATCTATATAATTATACTATGATATACGTGTCAACGAATGCACGAGCACCGACCGTCTTCGTCAGAGTATACCGATACCGCGAACGCCTTATGTTATCGTTTTCCCTCCTTTTCCTTTTCCCCGTTGAACTCTCCCGTTATCACAGATATAAATAAATGTATTCTTTACAAAACAATGTACAAGTTCTATTCAATGCTCCCCCTCAACCGCCGACGATGACTCGCGCGCGCGCGCTCCCGTTTACATTTACGCCAAAGTACAAAATAATAGTCGACTCTTCTCCTTTTTTGTTTTTTTTTCTCCTCCAAAACAGGACCTGACACTCTTTCGCGGTTTGCGCAAGATACTAGCGTCCCTCGGTTGTCATCACCAACGTGATCGGCTCCACGAAAAGAGGGACGACCCGCGCGAGAGAGATATACATATAATATAAAAAAATATCAACAATTTTTTGTTTCGAACACCGTGCACGCCGCATTTCTGTTCTTTTTTTTTTTTTAATAATTTTTATTGCAACGTATTCGCGATGTTTTTCGCGTAAAAATTGTAAGTAAAACCATAATATTCTCTTCCTTAAGAATATAATGCTGATTAACAATGACTATACCTACCAACAAACTTAAAATTGTCCATAAAAAAATCGATAATTGCAAGAAATCTAACAAAATACAGCATTAGACAACAATCAAATGCAACACGTAATGGGAAAAATGATACACGTATAATACGTATATACGAATTTGTCTCCGACGTCCCGGCCTGACCTGAGATGCGCGAGTGCACGGTTGTCGCGCGAAAAGGGACGAATTTGATCCTTAACGATTTATTATTCAATTTCTCACCGTATCTCCTCTCGTCGCTGTTATCGTTAGGCGCGTATAAGCATTGCGCCTGAAAACTCTACCCATATATATTTATTTATACTTATAATATAGCGATGTATATTCTGCGGCGAGGATCTCTCTTTTTCACTGTAAAATCCTTAAGACGCGTCACCCCGATAAAATTTCGTGATGTAGTAGGTACAGCCTTAAGATCTACGGCCTAGAGTTACTTGCGTGTCACCGTGTGTATGTGTAATGCGTAGGTGTATACTATTTATCATTCCATCTCTATATGCGGGTAATCGGGTATACGTTAATATTTCATTCGGATAATTAAAGGAGTTAGTGGTAAGTTTAACGAGATAGTAGCTTTGTAATGCGCTACGCGATCTGTGATTCTTTTCCCCTATTTTCATCTTAAACCTACAACAGGTAGATCGAGTGTTTCTCTTCACGCTCGTTTTTCCTCTCTTTTTTTCCTCTCGATATTCGTACCGCGCGCGCGCGCGACTTGGTCTCGAAGTGTATTCGATCTCGAGCGACGACCGTTAAGAAAAACCCCGTTATTTCGTAACGAAGAAGTAGTGCTATCTTGCACGTTGCCCGTATATAATTCGCGATTGGTATCTTCGCGATCTCGGAAGGGGCGGATCGTTCATCCGCCAATTTGCGGGATATTTAGAGACGATTCGCCCCCTTCCATCGGAGGTATTGTATATGTATACACGTACGCGATCCTCGGTGCGAAATCAATACGGATTCCCGAAGTGATCGGCATCTGCGCGTCCATTATTTACAAAATCAACAACTCTTCACGCGCAGTGCTGTTCCGGAAATCTCGCGACGTCGCTGTGAACGATCGGCAATATGAAACATTGACTAAACGGAAAAGAAGGACTCACGATTACGTGCGTGTGTGGGGTGCGTGTGTGAGTGTACGTGGTGTGAGGACGATGTACACCGGCGGTACATCCGAACATCGAAGGCGATCGCGGAAAGTTCGTGTTCGGCCACTCGACCTGGGTAACTTGAACAAATCTTCTCACTCTCCTTTTCACTCGAGTTTGCTTGAGCGATCGGGGGGACGCAACACGCGCTGCCCCATCTTCTTGCCGTCAGCTAGCGGTCGATGGTACCAATCGAAAATATGGCGGCTCTTGCTTGCAACGTGCCGAGGAGAGTGCGTCGGGTATAAATCCTGCGGCCCCCATACTTTCTTCTTACCCGGTGTCGCTTCGCCGTACGTAGCCGTGCGTAAGCAGGCACTTTGACGTAATTCTCCTAATTCCTAAATCTCCTCTAAGCCGCCTCCTCTCTCGCGTACTCCCGCTTCACACAATCGCTCTTCTACCCTCTCATACGTCTTTTCCAAGTCGCGCCTTCCAGAGGTCGGGGAACGATTTATGTATCTCGAAGAGTCGACCACCTTCCTCTCTTCCCTTCCTTCCTTCCTTCCTGCTTGCCTCTACTCGCTTCTTACTCTTCGCACTTCTTTCTCCCTCCATCTCTGACGTGAAGTCGAGATAACGCTAATAAATCCCGAAACCACTCAGGAGCGCGTATTTACAGTCCGGCCGCAAGACTTCCTCGTAGGACCTCTCCCTCTCAATGGCGCCACTTTATTCTGCAACAGAAAAATGAAAATGGTCTTAGATCGACGCCGCCGTGTTTCTCCTTTCTTCTCTCCTGCGCAACAGAGAGAAGGGCTGCGTTCAGCAGAAAAAGCAGTTTCGCAACTGTTGTAAGATTCTTTAACATGATATTTAATCGCTTTTGGTTCCTCATTAAATTTAAATGTATAACGCTCATTGCCGCACTTTAATCTCGGTTTAATTTATTCTTCATGTTTTTCTATAATAATTACAAAAACTAAAAAAAAGGTGAAAAGTGAATTGAATCGAGGTTAAAGTTAATCTATATCGGTAGAAACGGGCATATAAATCAATCGTACAATATGTTACAGAATTTTACAGCGGTTACAAAGCTGCTTTTTTCGTTGGACGCATTATTGATGTATAACACTATTAAGCTCGTTTCTATCAATGATAGTTTAATTTTTATCTTGATTTAACTAACTCTTCATTGTTTTCTAATTCTAAGAATGAAAAAAAGATGAAGAGTAAATTGAATAACCAAGATTAAAGTTAATCTATTGTACATTGGTAGAAACAGACATTAGTGCGAGAACAGCATATTATTTCAGTACAAATGTTTGGTTCGAGTACTTGTTGTGTTTCACACATTTAAACAATGCATGTCGAAATGCGTACATTATCTTGGCTTCTTATTTCCATATAACAAGTCACAAAGACTAGCACAAAGTTATAGATTATCAAGCGAGCAATTACAGTGTTCGAGGCCTGGCGTATAGTCGTTGATAAGACGCGCGACAATTGTGACTCCTCGTTACAAACCGTTCGACGAGCAGACAATCGGTTTAAATAGCTGCGATACCCATGAAAATGTCGATGCCTTTGTAAACTCGTAAACGTACTATTACTAGAGCGCTTACATCCGTGCCGGTAGAATCGACGCTGCGTACGCACGCTCGTTTGCGTCTATCGATACTCGATTACCGTATCTCACGCCGGTGGACGATGCCCGTCGTTCCACCGCTGCTCTGTCACGATCGACATGCTGGAGATATAGATTCCACGTCAGGAGCGGAAAAAAAAAAGGGGCAGCTATAGGAAACCTGCTCATTATGTATCGCAAGGCCATTTTTGCGACTTTAACAGATAATCGTTCGCCCCGCGATACCATGACAGCGATTGTCAGTGTTAATAAACGACAAACCACACGTGCCGCGAGATAAAATGCGATCGTTATGCAAAACACGTTGCTCACCCGGCCATTACCGCCGGTATCGTTCGGCACTAAACGAACATTTATACGCCCGTAATTGTTTGCCACAATTGTTGACTACTTTTCCGTGACGTATTTGGGACGACACGTGAGTTACGTAACAAGGACTTTGATAACAACAATACCTCGTAAATCCTAACTCTCTGGGAGATTAGAACGTAATTTCTAGGCACGAAATTCTTACTTAATCATGATGATTTATGTAGAATTATGTTAATTGCAGGCCAACAATTTTTACTTTCCAAACTGATAAAGTTAACGCGATCAAAAATTGCCCGTAGAAATCGTAATTGTCATTAATGGAACTTCATACTATAATAATGGAACTACTGATGGAGACTAATATACGAGCAAATTAATGTTCGATTGTTATATCGTTCTTTTATTTAAAATACGATTTATTAAATGCGATTTAAAATACGACTAAAAAATTGAAGTTTCTCAAAAAAGAGGAAAAATTATATTTCAATTTGACAAAAAATTATTGCCTAATTAAATGTCTGCAAAAGAATATTTTTAAATATAATCGAATTTTTATCATTATTTTATTTTACTTTTAAAAAACCTTATGATTTTTTAATGAAATTATTCAATAGTTCGTTTTTAATAATTCATAGCGTAGCTTACTTAATTCATTCATGGTAATAACTCGAAAATTACGTTTTTATAGTTGTGTAATTTTTTAAGTAAAGAAGCAATATTTCTTTTTCGGTGATTAATCCGAGATACACAAAATCGGTATGTCGACATAGCTTTTATCACACATTGTTATTCTGTTATATGTAATATAAAAATGTACAAAAAATTAGTCACGATTTCTCAAACAATAAAATGTAATAAAAACTCTATTAAAATTGTTTTTTAACAAAGTTTACATTTTATTAAATTATACATATATATATACATATCAGTATATATTGACCTTTAAAACTTTCTTGAAAAAGTGTTTTACTTTCACTTGCCTTGAACACATTAATATGTGTTAAAGATTTTTCTTGGGTCAATAAAGAAAGTTCCTCCAAGGTTTCGAAAGTTCTAATGAACTATGAATACGAGCGCATCGAAGTAAACACAGAATAAAATCATAAATCTCTTTTCGAAATATTATATTTTAAAGTTAACAGAGAAACAGAAGTGGAAATTATTACGAAACTTCTGTAATAATCGATTCCGCTGTAAGGTCACGTTTCCTGGAGCGACGTTGATCGGTACTATGGCGATACAGCGACACGTACGAATTAATCGTGTTTCGCCGAACAATTATGCGGACACGGCGACACGCGATGATACGCGCGGTGGAGGGCCGCCGGGGAGATTTCCGTGGTGCACGATTATAAACGGGACGCCAATATCCATTTTGGCCGACGTTTCGGAACTGACGCCCCCGGCACCATCGCGGCGACGCTTGGCGAATATTTCAAAACGGCTACACGGGCCGTCTATCCCGTCTGTCGCGTACCCCCTTTCTCCCAATTCTCCTCGTCTCTGTTCTCATCGCGCTCCACGTTCGTTCGCTTCGTTCGCTTCGCCGGGCCGCGAACGAAATGACGCGCGCGTCGCTCCGGATGACAAATGTCGCGCGATTATGCAGCAAGTCGTTTCGAAAGTTTCCGCAGTGACATCTGGGATGTTACATGCATGCTGGTTACCACCGACGAGGCATCGCCGCTGTCTCTTTTCGCTGGGCAATAAATATTTGTGATTATCATTATGCGCCGCGGTCGCGGTCGCGGCCGCGCCGCGCGTCCCCGCTTCCGTTTCTATTGTATAAATTGTGTAATGGAACTTGGAACGATCTATATGCGCGATAAAAATGTCTACCGACGTTTATCGCTATCAATTCCAGGTAACCTTGACAGCTTTAATTTGATAAAGTGAAGGAGAGAGAAAAACTGTGCGATTGCAATTTGGGATCCGCAATCGATAACTGAAAAGATTATTTTGCCTCGGTGTGTCGAATTGACATTAAGGATGTATAGTAAAATCTATCTGTAAACTGGAATTGGAAATTTACACTTTTCGTATAAAAACGAAAGTACAACAGTTCAATATAACCTCAATATATTACATTTAACAATACAATTGTATAGTTCTAATAAAACTTTTTTTATTTTATCGTAATTATTTTTTAAACAAGTCTTTTTATATTGAAACAGTTTTTGATCTAAGAGGTTAATCATGTAACTTTTTCCCTGGAGCGAAATCGTGAAAAGTGAAAATTTTTTACATGTACATACATATGTATTGTATTTTCATTTTTCACATTTCCGCTCTACAGGAAAAGTTACATGATCGATATCCTAGATTTTAAATCGCCGTCAAACTTTTTATATTACTTAAATTTAAAATATAATCCATAGATGAAATCTGTATTTTTTTCGTAATGTTTTCATTTTCTTTTAAAAAAATACGTATAATATATCCTTATTAGGTAAGACACTGTTTTTCGTAAGAACTGAATCTCAGGCGATAGACAGAGGAGATAATAGAATTCCATTCATATGTCATTAATTTGAAATAAGCCAATGCCGCAATCCAAGTGCCTTTTCTTTTTACAAGCGCAAAGCTGCTTATACTCGTTGATGTCTCGATGATTGACGTTCTATAGAAAACCTGTTTATTCATTCCCATTATCTTGAACGGGCCAAAAGTTGTGAAACGTTTTATTTCACGATAAAACCGTCAAGTATTTAAATAGTACCTATATAAACGCTAAATCTTTCAGGCTATTCATCTATAATTTATAAACATCGCGAATTAACTGCAGTTGTGCGTTTCTTTTAAATAATATCTTGACATATCCGTGATAAATTCACATTTGAACGATCATTGACGTAGCAGATTCAAATCTTACGACAATGAATTTCCTTTCGTGCGCATCCACTTACACTGTAGAAATGGTATTATAATTTATTTATACAATCGCGATTGAGGGATCGTCGATTACGAAAAAGGATCGTTCAACGTGACGTCGTAATTTAACTATAGTCGAGGGAAAGATAGCGCGGAGATCTCGTGTCGATCGACACCCGCGATATTGCGCGCTTAGAACGATACCCCGAGGAGGAAACGACGAAATTGAACGGTCGCGCAGGTGAATGCGATAATGTGAATTTCATTGCTCGAATTCTCCGTTACCGGATATCGCGGGACAGCGAACGCTCCACTAATAGCAATGCGCTATCGTGTAATTATTGCGCTGGTCTCATGTGGCCGGTCGCGCGGGTAGCCTTGCATAATGTAGAAGACAGCCCCGGCGCATGAAATTATAAACATCAAACAATCATTAATTCAATGAAAGCACCGGTTTACGGAGAATTTTAATAATAACTCACGCTGATAGCTCGTCTTACGTTACGCATTTTTATAAAAGGAGTTAACATTCCGCTCGCGTATATCGACAGGAATTATTTCCTTGGAAATTCAGCAGCGTGTATGCGCCTCCATAATGATTTAATTATAACGTGCTCGAGATAAGCGGGTGAGTCTGTTTATTTTATAACTTTATTAATAATCTCGTTGGAGTTTGTACACGAGCACGGAGTGTTTACTCGGTAATGCGTAAGGGCGTAAGGATAACGAGCTGTCTCGTTCGCAGATCTTTTACGGGCATATACGAGTACGATCATCGTACCGAAGCGAGCAGCAACGTTGAGCGTCATTTTTTTTAATAAGTCGAGATAGAATCTCTCCCGCCTGTATATCTGTCCGGTTTTAGAATTAACGTGTCGATTTATATTCAGAGGGGCAGACGGAGCGCATAGGAGCGCGCCATGCGACTGCGGTCTGCGTTTTTATTCCCAATCAATAACATTTGCATCCGCGTCGGTCAGTCGAGTGGTCGAGTCACGAAATCACGTGAATGATAGCGACGCCTCGCCACGTCAGGGACGAAAAAGGTGGCGGTGCGTGCTCCTGGCGATCTCTCTCCACGATCTTACCCAGGTAGCAACGAAACCATCTAGCGCGCGCACCTAGAAACATAAATCCGTTTTCGCTATCGTCTTCACCTCGGCCCTGAAGATCTCACGTTAGACGACCGTACGTGCGATAAACCGCTCGAAACGTGTGTTGCGTCTCGCAAAATGGAGGTCGAGGACAAAGAAGGACGCGGTATACTACGGCGAGCGTATCGCCTCTGATGAAACCTTCGAGGTCGTACGGGAATTCCAGAAACGCGCATGTTTCTCAAAGAAGCATCGCGGCAACACATAGGCTTTTACCTTCAAGAGAAAGAGTGAGCGAGAGAGGGAGAGAAGGGGGATGCGCGACGACGTGTCCGAGGATTTATTAAGGAGACACCTGAATTCCCCCATCCGGAATCTCGAAGCCTTTAAAAAGATCGCCTATCCTTTCGCGCCTCCGGGGCAGACCATGGGTGCATGGTGGTCGCGAATTTTATGCAGATGCCGTGAGATCGTGTAAATATCGCTAGCTAAAAAACGACGATAGTTAGACGCGGGTCCACCCAAGGAGGAAGGGCTTAGTCCGATTCTCGATCATTTGGTACACCATCGTCCTAATGGCGATTAAACATCCTCGCGCTAATTGGCAATTATAGGGCACAGGCATCACCAAAGGATTTTACTTCTGCACGGAGGCTGTCTCTTCTCGTGTTGGTCTCTGCTTCACCCTCCGATCGCCTCTTTTCGGATGCGATCGGAAAGAGAACGAAAGAAGAGATGGGCTCTACCTGGTGGTAGGTGCTACAAAAGGCGCTGCCTTGCGCGACCTGAACGACTCGCACACGCACACACACACACACACACACACACACGTTCTCTCTTTCTCTTCCTTCTTCGTACCTGTCTGTTTGTGGGCGACAGGAAGGAGGGAGGAGGTAGAGATCGAGGATGGTCCGCACCGGAGCGGGTGCCGGTCCCCGAGAGAACCGAAAGAGGAGAGGGGTAGCATTATAAGCGCATCCGAGATGCGAACGCACCGACGCGTTCGGTATATATACGCGCGCGGGGAACGGAGGAAGGGAGGATGCGAGGTGACGACAGCGAAAACTAGTTTATTTGGAACGCGGCTATAAATTAGGATCAGATCGCCGCGAGATAAGAGAGCACCGGCTAACACCCGGTTCCATCCGAAAAGACGATCCCCTTCCTCTTCCCCCTTTATCCACCACCCCCGTTCCCCCGTTCGCCGTTCGCCTTTCTACTCGCGTTCACGTCGCGTCGTGGCATCCTACAAAGACAACAACGACGAACGTTCTCCGATACGTGGCAGCGTCGCCCTGGCTGGCGATTCTCTCGAGTCTTCGTAGTCTTTTTGTGAAACGAGGCGACGAATGATATGCTGAGATAATTTTTCTTGCAGTTCGTCTCCTCTTATCGAGTATCCTACAATCTTTGCGTTTATTAGATCTACTTTTTTTCATTACGGAAATAATTAACGGTCCTGTGAAAACATATGATATTATTTTTGATATACGTTTTGATATACGGGGACCGTTCATTATTTCTACAATAGAAAAAAGTATTATAAAAGTAAAGTTTTTAGGTTCGATAAGAGGAGAACTTGTTATTTAGACATATATTACACACTAAGAGAAAAACATGTATACATATAATTTTTAGTTAATTTTAATTTTCAGTGCTATGTAATTATATACTTATTCTTAGTAGAACTATAAATTACAATTATTATTACAATTATTATTACTAACGTTGTAGCACTAGTAACTATAGAAAATTTAGTATATATACATTATATGCATACAAATATAGTCATAAAATATTTTTCTCTCGTGTCTATTTCTATGTAAATTAATTTTGATCTTGATTTAACTTACTTTTTATCTTTTTCTAATTTAAGAATTAGAAAAGAATAAATTAAACTGAGATTAAGGTTAATATACATTGAAATGGATATCAGTAAAATAAAAAATTCAAGATTATCTACGTCTCTCGACTGTACGGTTAAAGGCTGATGCGCACTTTCCACGCAATAATATCGATCCTGTCGAGTAGATTCTCATTGCCATCGGATACAGGTGGCGGAAAGACTCGGAAGAGGGCCGCTTTAGTAGAACTGCTCTCGAATCGGCGCGGCGCGGGGAAAATGGAAAATGTATTTTCGCGAGGAGAGCGATTCGGCTCCTTTACGATTCCGTCGAATCAGATAACGTTCAAAGACTCGTACTCGCATCGCGACGTTACGGATACCGCGGGAGGATTCACCGAGAAGAATGGAGAAAGAGAATGAAGCGAGGGTAAGCCCTGGAGATGAATCTCGCGTATCGTTTGTAAGGAAACGGGAGAACAGTCGTTTCGACTCTTCCTCCCTTCCCTTTCCCACATTTTATCTACGAATGCCGCGAATGAGAAGACGCAGACTCCGGCTTTCCCCAAGACGCTTTAACGATCGCTTGCCGACTATCGCGGACAACCGCTTTTCTATCTCTTTCCTGACTTATCGTCTCACATACGCAAGTCGTATTCTAACGCATCGTCCTCTACGATCGTTTACACGACGCACGATTCGAATTGAAATTTGATAGAACATCCGAGGAGCAGCTTTTTATTCATAGATCTTTTGAACGATGCAATGATTTGTGTAGAATTTATACGTGCGATAAATTTGTATGTGAATCGTTTATTTGACGCGACACACATAATTTACGGAAAGTTTACGGCAGCACTATTATGGCCATACGTTGGCTCCTCTCACGACGCTTTGAGGTATCCATCTTAGGGTTAAGCCCGTTAGTAAGGAGAGCGAGAGCTCGTGAGACCCAAATGCGAGACTGGACCGGAGTCGTCCGTTCGGTCACCAACGCGACAGGTTGAGGTGTGTCCGAGTGTAGTGTTCCAACACACTCGGGCACGCACGATATACACAGGCACACGTGCGCATACACACATAAAACCTACGGCTGACTGGTGTGGTAAGAGAAAGACGCGGTTAGCCAGTGGTGATTCCATTCACTGATTGAAATCTCCGTCCATTTGTCACTGTCAAGGAGGTGGCGATAGCCTCTTTCTCCCTATTTCTCTATCTGTCTCTCTCTTTCTCTTTCTCTTCTCAGTTGTTGCCTCTACCATCATGGACTACCCACACGCTACTCAATGTGTGTCCGATACCATTATTATTTCAACTCGGGTCGCTCGACTTAACGACCAATCGACACGCCGGATATTAATTTCTTATCGATTGTTCCTGTGTCTCGACAGTGCGCGAGTTTGGCGCAACACCAGTTCGACCTGCGCGCCTTTCGCGTCGTTCGCGCAAGCGAGAATCGTTGTATCGATTTTCGTGCCGATAAGCCGGTCATGTACCGTTGCTTCGGACAACTCCCCCCCCCCCCCTTCCACCCGTCCCCTTCTTCGCTACCCATCTCGTCGACGCTTCTTTCTTTTACAGTCGAAAGTAAATTACGAACATCACTCGGCGTGATATTAACGCGACCATAATATACTACAGACCGAAGAAGAATTTTAACTCCATTCTTCTACAGCAGAAAATTTTTGACACACACATACGCGTATCGATCACAATCATAAAACGAGAAACGACGATAATATAATACTGTCACTTACTTTGGGAAAGACGACTATTATTTTCTGGATCTTGGTACGGGTTCTTAAACTGGCGAGACGAAACCACTACCCATCGATTGTGAACTGGAACAAAACATGTATTTTCTTAATCCTTTTTCATACATTTTTTTTTTATTATGAATTTATTATGAGTATAATTTTTATGACATATTTTTGTTATATATATACGTGCCGAAAAATATTCGTACGTTTTTTAAGTAAAACAATTCAGTAACGCCATTCAATATTAAACGACAAAATTAAATGTCAGACCGTTTTTCTACTCACCCTTTGTAAAATGGTTTAAATGCGGTGGTAGCTTCCGTGGGTGGCAAACTGGCAGTGGTTTGATGTTGGTGGAGAATAGAATTCTGACCAACTGACGAGAAGTCCTTATGCGGTGAGCTCTGTAGTCGAGAATTAAAGGATGAAGCGTTGCTGGCCGATCCTGAACTCGTCGACAGATAACCACCACTACCGGGATGATTCGCGCCGTAGGGGATATTAGGATTGCTATTAGTTGCGGCACTAGCGGTGTTGCCACCAGGACAGTAACCGCCCGGTGGTGCTTGGATCACTCCGTTCGGCGTGGCCACCTTCATATTGGGCGGCGTCTGAGGTGGAGTGTCCGTGCCAACCTCTGGAAACCCCGCCGCCGCCGCCGCCGAGGAGGACGCACTCGAGCTCGAGCCCGACGATGAGTTAGGATTGTAATGGAGTTGGCCACCGGACGAGGACGAAAGGAAGCCGCCGTATCTCGCAGCAGCACCCGAATAGGGCGCCGTTGCTGCTGCCGACGGGCTCATCCCCGCCGACGACGGTAGAGCGAACGAACTTCCCAAGTTTCCTCCACCACCGCCGCCACCACCGCCACCGGCGCCACCTCCTGGACCAAGCCATGGTTGTTGCGAATGATGATGATGCCCTTGATTAGGCACGTGATGTTGCTGTTGTTGTTGAGGGTAATGTTGCTGATGATGCAAATGGTGATACTGCTGATGGTGAGGGTGCGACGGTGGTGGCGGCGTTTTACACGCCGCCGTGTCCGCTAAGGACCAGATTTTAGGTTTCGTTGCAGGGATCGGTACACCACCCCCACTACAGTCCGATTTAATACCCTCTTCTTTCAGATGATCCTCACCGCCATAACCTTGATGATGATGGTGGTGATGCTGCATCGTATGATGAAAGGGATGCTCGCTCCGTCGGCGGTCGTCCTCAAGATCTAATTCGTCCTCATCGTCGAGATCCTTTTCATGTTGTAAAAGTTCCGCTTTCACGTGCCTCATTGGTTCTGAAAAAAAATCGAGGAAATTATATATAGATTTGTTCAAAAAAGAATACAAAACCTTGTAAATTGTTAAAATAAATAAAAGATATTGTGTATTGAAAAATTATCTAACGTTTGCCAAAGATTTTCCGTACAAGTGGAAATATAGACATTAATGGTTTATAATATTCGATACGCAAAAGTGAGACGTAAAACGCGAGTCATCGTAACGGGATTCCATCGTCGTGGAGGGTCGTCGAGCGACGGGAAAGTACGGATATTTCCCTTACGCCTCTATACAGTTAAGCTGTAAGGGATGCTGTGAAAAAAGGGAGCGAAGCCTTCAACCACTTTGGGGCGCGAGAGATTTCAGTTTCCCTTCGGGGCAATGAGTGGGGAGGATGCGCGAGTGAGTGGATAAACGAGAGATAGAAAGAGAGAGAATGAACCGTATCCATCTCCTTTTTCTCCGATCTCCCTGTCCCGTCGTCTCTCGGGGCACTCCATGGATCGTCCCGACCGTCTGCCAGCCAGCCAGCCAGCCAGCCACCGAGCCAAGCCAGGCAGTCAGTCAGGGGTGAGAATTTCATTAAGAGGTTCGAATGTGTCGGCAGAGGGTTTACTTGATGGGTCGTCAAGCGATAATTCCCAAGCACGAAGGGCGTGCTACACTCTTGAGCGTAAGAGAGACGTATAGAGAGAAATGAAGAGAAAGACAGAAGAGAGAGAGAGATAGAGAGAGAGAGAGAGAGAGAGAGAGAGAGAGAGAGAGAGAGGTGAGAAAAAGAGAGTTTCGGTTTAGGGCGCACGCACCCCCTTATAAAGGGAACTTCTCTCTTATGGGCCAACTAAATAGATACTACCGTCGAGTCCACAAGTGGCTCTTTAACTTTTGACCCTCTTTTATCAGACGTTAATCTCGTAATCTTAGTGCCGTGCGGGCGGATTCTGTGTTCAAATTGAATAACTAAATTGTATTGGGCTTGACTTTACCCAGAGCGTTACTCGCGCGCCAATTACAAGCATATAATATTTTTTCGATTCTTACATTTCGATGATTTACAAGATAAACTTAACTTGCCCGTGTAACTTATATAACAATAGTCGGATTCCAAAAGCCTGAGAGTTTGAATACATATTCTACTTGAATACGAATATTTCAACCCTCGTCGCATAGGTGGCTGACACTTTGTGTGACCTATCTTCCTCAGCGGCTCGGCGTAGAAATTCATGAGCGCGCCAAAAGCTCCCCTTTGAATTTCTAAAGGTCACCGGCACAGAGCGAAGACATGTATGTGTATATCCGTTCACATACCGAAGTGTCGATACATGTTCTCGCTATTTATATAGGAAGAAGAGAACCACGAAAATTTTAGACGTAAGAAACACCAACGTCTGTGCTTTCACGCGACCACACGCGGAAGAACCGGCGACGAATCAATTTCCCATTGGTTCTCGTCAGCTTTTCTCAGTGTATCGTCAGAGTGCTCTCCTCCACTCGAGCCGGTCTTTTGAAATTACGAGCTATTGCAGGACGCGTGACGTAGCTGAATCTAGGTGTCCTGGATCGGGAGAGAGACCGAAACGACGAGAGCATTCGACAGGACGAAGGAGAAGGCGAGCGAGCGAGAGAGAGAGAGAGAGAGAGAGAGAGAGAGAGAGAGAGAGAGAGAGAGAGAGAGAACCGATATTGGCCAATGTGCGGTGGGGTAATGGTGGCCATAGGAGGGTCCGTACCATTCGTCTCGCCGCGGGCGCCGATACATCACCGTACCTCGAACCAACGTTCTCTCGTGTGTATCTATATACATTCACAATATATATACATATATGTACATATATATACACACATATACATATGTACATATAGTATATATGTATACGGACTCCGTAGCACAGAGTGGATACGGTTCTACGGATGGCTACTCAGACCGGGCGCACCCTCTCCCTCTTACACGAGCACACGCATACAATTACGTGCTCCTCTCACAGATCTGTGCTTCTCGCGCATCGTACATACACCTACACGCTCGCGGCAAGCTCACGGGCAAATAGCCCGGTCCAGCCCGGGGTGCCCAATACCAATACCGGTACGGCGCGGCGTCGGCCCGATTCACCGGGGGACCAAACCGAGAGCCATTAATCTCTTCGCGCGGCAACCCGCAACCCGTCACTGTGTTTACCCACATGTGAACCATTATGTCCGCCCCCGCAATGTAGAACCCACTCCGCGCGCTCCGTTTCACCGCAAATGCCTAACTGGCTGTTTCCGGTCTTCGCTGCGCGAAGAAATTCGCCTCGGCGAGTGAATCTACCTCGGGATGCAAATATCTTTGATAACCGGATCATTATTTGAAAAACAAGTCGTGGTATTTGGACCCCTAATAAGCGCGTGCGACGTGCTTGTCGGTGAATAGAGTGCTGAAACGAACCGAAATTTGCAGCCACGTATTTCAGAATCGTCGATCGTAAAAATTTACGGTTGATGGGCGACCCACAGAAGCTCTCGAGGAACGACAGGTACGCGAGCAACAAGACTAAAAGCCATATCATCGATCTTTCGGTCGAAGCATGGAGTGAAGATACATTTGCAAGAGAGGTATCTAAGAACGGTACCATAAATTCCCTAAAAAAAATTCAGGCAATCTTTAAAAACAACTGCTGACCGCCCGGAGTGAAGTCGTAAGTCCGATTCATTGTGAGCGAAATGCATACTTGCGCAATACGAGAAACGCCAGCTGATGGGTATTCGATATCAGAGAAACTAGTCACGCGAAGGAAACACGCCATCGACATTCCGAAGTCAAAGAGATCGGCTCGCCTTGCACGCGTTGTGGACCTACCTTCAAGAAACAATTCTAGCTGACGATACTTCTCGCAATATTGATAATCAAACGTTTCTAACGATAGAAATTCTCTGATAGCAACGACGGGTTATCGTGAATATTATTCTGTACCGCAGCAATTTCTCTCTCTCTCTCGGACTGTCTCTCGAAGCAAACGTTGCCGACTAGCCGTTTTGAATATTATTATTACTCTCCCGACATTTTTTTTGCAGTGACGTTAGCAGGCACGCCCCTCGTTTCATTTTGTTTCGTAGTTTGTAGACCTGTTAGCGGCGTAAACTAAGATTTCGCGTGTTAACTTCAGCACGCCCCGCGACTACGAGCAATTTTCTAAATCGCTCTCGCAGATAGCAACGTGAAAACGTGACGGCTCATATCTGCAGGCAGCGTTTTACTGAATAATGAATTCTGACTCGCTGTCGGACAACGGATATCATGCGTGGAAAGGAAAAAAGGCTTACCGGTATCGTCGATGCCCCGCCTCGCGTCTTCACCGACCCGGTCGCCTCTGTTATCCGACGCGAGCTCGTCCTTTTCCTTATTATCCTCGGAATCGGTAAGCACCGCATCGTCATCGTCGTCCGTCTTGTTCTTCGGTTCCCAGGTCATCTTGTTCTCCTTTTTGAGACGTCTCCGCGCGTTGGCAAACCAAGTGGAGACTTGCGTCAGCGTCATTTTTGTGATGATAGCCAGCATAATCTTCTCGCCTTTCGTCGGATACGGGTTCTTCTTGTGTTCGTTCAGCCAAGCCTTCAAGGTTGCCGTCGATTCCCTCGTGGCATTCTTCCGCCGCGCTGCCAGGTCGTACCCAGCGCCGTATCTGAAAAAAAAAAACAACGAAAAAGTTAGCTCACAATGAGACGTCTCCTGAAATTCTTTAAAAATCGCGTTACACTCGAATAAACAGCGGCTTGTAAACAGGAAGTGCAATAATGAGGAAAATCGAGATGCAAAGAACTCAGTAAAGTGTAGATAATATTTGCACGTGAATCTCTCAGTTTCCTATTACCAGTTACTAATTAATCGATATGTATAATTTACATTTTTTTTTACATATACAGAGGTCGATTACAATTTACGATGTACACGGAGAAAATAGTTTTGTTAAAGTATTTAAAAATGTAGCCAAATGCAGAGCTAAATATAATTTTGTTAGATTATCGAAATATTTTATATAAGACATTTAAACTCGTTGCTAGAATATTTTGCAGCATTGTTTATCATGCTTGAGTTTTTACACAATTATTTTTATGGTTCAACAAAATTATTTTCAGCTCTATCAAAAGTTTTAAATACTTCAATAAAATCTTTCTCTTCTCGTGTATCTGTTTCTTGTGGAGAGAGAGAAATTTCGAAATTATAATCGAATTACTGTAGTTGTGTTCGGCCAATAAACGTCAAATGCATTATTAACGATTGAGTAATCGCCGTTAAGCAACGCTCGCCGTTTGCCTGCCAGAAGGTAACTATTGTTCCATATTTGTCGAAACAGGCCACTCCACTGGAGAAGTGGTATCGTGTCGAGGGTGTGAATTCCCTGCAGATTTTGGCAAGTCCGAAGTGCTCTGCACGAGCCCTCGGCTTTTCTAGATCCATGCCTTTCTCTCTTTATTTCTCTTTCTCTCTTTCTCTACCTCTCCCTCCCTTTCTCTTTCTCTCCGCCTTGCTGAACATCAAACCCCTCCGTGGGGGGGGGGGCCGGCATCCTACTGGGTCGAGGGTGATACTCCGGCAAATATATACGGGGAATAAACCCCCAGCGGCGGCGTGATTCCATCGTGCACCCCCGGCACTCACTCGCCGTAATGGCGATTCGATCGATCCCCTCTTGCCCACCCCCTCATACTTGCTCGCTCAGTCTCGTCTACTCCTCTCGCGTCTCTCTCCCATTTCTCCCTGTCTCCCTTACGAAGAACCCGGGTGCGCGAGTATGTTATAGGTGGATACTGTTATATACTACAGGCTAAAATACCTATCGACGATCCATCGGCTGTGAAACGATGGAAGAGGCACAGTGGTTCGCGATAGCGGCGATGGTAGTGGTTAGTAACAATGTTTTGCCTCGAGCGGAACACATCCTGACGAGATACCTGCTGCTGTTGCTCACCGATGGGATAAATGAAAATTTCGTAGTATCGATATCGACTATCTAGTGACGAACGACAATCAGAAGATCAATATTATGATAATCAATAAATTTTTGAAATATTCTGAGCGGTTTCTGAGCATTTTCCAAAGGTGTGAGAAGTAATGGATTAATTTACAACTGTATCTAAATAATTTAAACAAATATTCTCTTGACAAACCGTAACAAACATCGATCGACCTGTATTACATTCGATTTATGGCAACTTGCTCCAATATTGTTTACGGAAATAATCATCAACCGCGAATTCTTTATTTTCGTTGTGGCGCTGTTAAAAATAAATTCATTGCCAGATATCTATTTCCATTTTATGTAATCGAATTAGACGAGTGTACGCGTCGGACGGCGGTCAGATTGAAGAAATCGTTCGGTACACGTGGAGACAGTCGAAGAGAGAGAAAGAGAAAAGCGGAAATCGAGGTAAATCGAACGAACGGCGAATTATTAGATTCTCGCTTTCACTCAACGAGCACAAGACTGTGCAATCCACTCCCTGTACCACCCTCCGATTACCACTGCGATCCGCATCCGAGATTGCCGAGATGACCGCGTCGATGGGGATGGAAACGGCAATCCGCAGGAGGCTGACTCGAAGAAGGTGGAGGACGTTTCACCCTCTATTAAACTCCCTCGTACAAGGGAAAGGCGGCCGTCGGGATACGTCGCCAGTAAAACGAGCCTCTCCTCGACTTCTTTTTTTTTTTCTTTCTTTCTTTGCTCTCCTTCGGCCGTGTTCCTCCTTTCCCCTGCTGCTACCGCAAGAAAGCGGCCATGTCCTCGAAGGAGTCCTATCGATTTCGATAGGCTTCCGCGTCCGCCCTTGAAGTAGTCGCGACCATATGGCAGTATTTGCGAAAGGACGAAAATTGTTGATTTTATTGCGGATTATGTTCTTCCTCCGGGAAAGTTCTCTAATATTTTCTAAATTATCAGCATTACGAGAAGTATTGCGTAACACAGGTTTTGCATACAGTTACTTTAATAAGAATTTATAGTAAGGACTTACAATAATAAGAAGAACTTATTAAAGGAATTCTAACTTTGCATATCCATTCTGACGTGATCGGACAACATTAAAAATGAGAAAGTTAACGAATTCGCGGAAGAAGGTATAACAGTCCGTGTTTTGAATCGCAGACTCGTCAGGAATCGACAGCGGACGACGATACAAGCTTGCAGATATAATCAAAGTTCGCCCCCCCCCCCCCTTCGTTAATATGCGCAATTTCGACTGCCTCCCACACTCCAAGCCGTACCGGTGCTACGCCACGCAATTATCTACATACACAACGAGTCCGCATCGGCATTTACATACTAAGTGTACCGTTGCGTGCCGGGAGAGAATCGCTCGGATGTGATCACGTCTTGTATATTGCGACGATGCAGATGCGACGACGAATGGGAGCAAGGTAAAAACTTGGCGAATGTGCAATGACCAGTCCAATCTGCTCTCTTCCTTGTAGCATGTCTCAACGCGATTGGTTCGCGAAAACCGACCGTTATTCGCGCACTCGAGTTACGAAGCTATTGGTATTTCGAAAATGTCAAGTTTTACCGTGAATTAAAATCGTGCAAGCGGCGGATGTTCAATACAGAAAAGAAAGAAGGGACGTTACATTCCTCTTCACGAGTGTCGCGATCGGATTTCGTGATACGCATCGAAATCGAAACAAGTCGATATGCATAATAAGCGTTTTTGAATTTTCATATAAATATGAGTTTATATATTCTGAAGGAATGTAAAAGCCGAATGTATAAAGATCTAAGCATTATGCTTATAGTGTGACAGCTCACGGACTAGTAGATTGCGAGTGAATGGCGCTATCTGCTATCATTAAATTCTCGGACACGTTCTTATCGTCTCTTTGTCGATGTTAAAGCAAAATCGTGCCCTTGAAGAACAAAACGTATATATATATTTTTTATTTTTTTTTTTTAAATATGTATTTTACCAATAAACGTACAAATATCAAATGTACCTCGTGTGAATTTCAACGTTAATTCTAACTGGCATTTTGAGTGACTTATTTAAAAATACCTTCAGCGATTAAAAAATCTTTAATCTGACACTAACAGTAAACAAATAGGAACGGATATCTTTTTTATTGTCAGTTAATCACTCGTCAAAAGGCCGATAATCAAATGTCGACGTTATGCGATATCGGATTCGGCAAATGGATATTCGTGCAATAACAAAATGAACTCGCAGTTATAGCATTGCCGCGCATATTTCTGCATGAATTGGAGGAGTAACGTCAATTTAGAAGTATCGTTCCGGGGAGTGAAAGGACAAAGAGAAACGTATCATATACGTGAAACGAAATTGTCGACAGGCTCAGAGGAAGGTTGAAACGATAGGGATCGAAACGGTAGAAATTCCTCCACTAAGGGGGTTAATAACAATACGAAAGGGTGTATAGAGAAGCGCGTAATGCTAGACACTGGCAGCACTCGAGCGACTCATTAGAGGCTTTGCATATGGTGGCGTCAACCTCGAAAGGTTAACCAATATTGGCAGAACGCGCGTAATTACGTCCTCCAGTCTGGTATAGCTGCGTATATATAGAGGTAGCTTCAATAGTTACGCCCGGGTTCGGATGTGCAAACGTTTCCTACCGACTAACCAGCCAACCTACTGCATCTCTCTCTCTCTCTCTCTCTCTCTCTGTCTGTCTGTCTATCTTTCTCTTTCTCTCATACGTACACACACATATAAGCACCCTCTCTTCCGTGCAATTGTGTATAGCTTACGGCTGCGTTTGCTCCGTACTGCTATCGACAAGATCCGCCCCTTATACTCGCGCAATCGCTATGTCATACAATAGACCGATATGCTGTCTATTTCTAATCACCAACTTCGCAGCCGTTTTATTCCAAGGCAATCACGAAGAGTGTAGCAATTACTTCGATAATCAATGAAATTATTGAACTGTACTACATCCGAGTAGTCTCGATATTTTATTTTTAAGACGGCGTGAAGAGAATCTAGGCAGAATTTTTTTTTTACTTTACCGATCAGTAAAACGTGCACGTACGTACTCCGTACGTCAATATATCAGGTGATTTTTTTTAGTATTAGATGCCGTTTCAGGAATTTCCAGACGATAGAAAAGACACAAATAAGTAACCGGTTACGGGAAATCAAAGATAATCATCAAAGAGAAAAAGGCCGCACGTTTCTATAATGCCGGTACAGCCAATGTCTATAAGCGATCACTGATAATAAAAAGCGGTATCTCCCGATTGGGTTAAAATTAAGATAGTATCACAGTATTTGCTGACATAGCGTCTTTTTAATGGACAAAAAGAGCTGCGGCGCAATTATAGCATCGTTAAATATGTACAAGATTAGTTACACATCGGTCTAAATATATATAATTATCATCATTATGTATAATTATCGATCTAAATATGAAAGAAAAGAAATTTAATTTTATACATATTTTCTTATATTATATTAACATTTTGTTATTGAAAGCTATACGATAATTATTTCGATATTTAAATTTTCATTTAACAACAATTTAAAATGTTGCTATATGTTGTCTTAATATACACAAAGAGTAAGCAGACATATTCAACTATATCATTCAATAACGAATAATAGGGTGGTAAGATTCGCGGGAATGTGCAACGGCGCGAGCGAAGGAAAACAGAGAAATCAATCAATTTACATAAAGACAACAGGAAAAAAGAGACACTTGTGCCTGTTCAAAGTGTCCTCAAAGGAACCCTTTCGTACCAGTAACGACATATTTCTCATTTCCTGTAATCAGAGCGTTCGCGTCGGAGCGTCCCAGTCGAGCTGCTTCAATTTACACCCTCGCGCGGAGCATCCCCTCCTTGTGTCGTCATACAACGTAGTCTGCAACTTTCAACGCTGCCAGTAAAACAATAGCGGTCTGACGGCATCGAAAGTGACGAGGCTCATGGTAGAGGCCCGTTAAGGGAAGAGAGCGACCAGGGCAGAGATGAGGGAGAAACGAGCGAGAGAGCGGCCGTCGTATTATTAAGCAAGTAAATTAATAGAGGCTTGTCCAGGAGAGGTGGTGAGAGAGCGAGGCAGTAAGGGCACTGAATTCCACGATAAACAATGCCTACCGTCGGAGTTTCTCTGGTAGGCGCCGCCACCGCCACCGCCACCGCCGTTGCCGCCGCCGAGCGCACGCAGACTATACAGCCATCCGAAAGGGTGGCTCTGGAAGAGGGAGGGAGAAGCCTCCCGTTGCGTGAGTCACAGCGCGCTTGCCTATTCCTGAACGTCGAGCATGAACGTATGTGTGTGTGTGTGTGTGTTCACCAGGCGACCACGAGGGTTGCTAAGCGAAGCAAGTAAAGCACCTGTGGGAGCCGACTCGTTCGGAGGATACGGAGGTGGCCGAGGAAGTAGTCGAAAGGGAGTAGACGTACGCGAGGGAGAAACGGGTGAGAAGAAGAGAGGGATAGATAGAGAGGGATTTAGAGCCACGGGAAGGGAAAGATAGAGGGTAGAGCGAGAGAGTACACGGAGACGAGAGTAGAGTGGTGAGTAGAGCAGAGAGAGGCCTGGCGAACGGGCGAGCCAACCCCGGGGAGGAAGCCAATCAATAAACTCACTCACTCACTTGCTCTCCTACGGAGAGAGACCTACTGCTCTCCCTATGCTCGCGATGTGGCGATATATGTGTACGTGTGTACGCCAGTATACGTATGTACACACGTCCAACCTGGAAGCCTCCATTATATACGCCCACTCGGCTGCCTACAGCCATTTTGTAGCCGTCCGTCGTGTTTGGCCTAACTCGAGCGCCGGTACCTTCAACCCCCTTCGAGTTCGACAGAATTCGGAACTCGCGGCAACTACTTTGGCCGAATGTCAAGTCGATCGATGATGATTACATCGGACGCTGTATCGTATTAATGTTGTTACACGCGATCAACTTGTGCAAACGTGCTATATCTATTTATCTTCGAAACTAGATTAAAACTGGCCGTTTAAATTGGATATCTACATATATATCCGACATATCATACATCATATTAACATAAAAGTTATTCCACGCCAGATGTGTTTTCTGTGGCGACGACGAATAACATTACGGCTCTTCATCTCGCCGATACGACTAGCGTGATTTTAACGGTCCATACACCACAAACGGTGTGCTTCTCCAGGTGCCCGACTATAAGAGGGAGATATTACGGATTCGCGATAACGATAACCGTCGTCGCGCGGAAACGTTTCCAACGAGGAACATACGTGGCAAGTACGACGGGATCGTGACTCTTGTTTTAATGGCGGCTCGCGGAGGTAACGGGTCAGGGGTAAGAGGAGAGATGGCTCGGCGCTCTCTGTCTCTCTCTCCTCTCCCCTTCTCTCTTTCAACGGTAGTTTAATCTAATGGAGTCGAGAGACCATGAAACCTGGCGATAAACTTACCCGTAGGCGGCCAGGGTTGGATCGTAAGGGTAGTAACCCGTGGCGGCAGGTTGAAGGGCGGCCGTGCCCCAAGCAGCACCCATGTCCGCCGTCATGCCCATCCCCGTCGCGTCCTTCAGCCCGTACGGATTACCCTGCAAGAGCAGAGTGCATGATAAGCGCTAATTTATTTAGTATGTCGCTGCATCGCGCATATATGTAAATTCTCCTACAATGTAAACATGTTATCGACATGCTATCCTTTTTATCGCGACTTTAAAATTAAAAAGGAAACAACGGTATTGATCAATATCGATCCTCGCGTGACACGTGCGATTCAGGAAACTAATACAGATCCATTATGGTTAATGCTACAGATTATGTTCTGCATGCTGAGAGAGATTATCGCAAGCCTGTATGTAGAAACCCTTTAAAGGTTCAATCCATCTCAATTTTCACTGATAGACTGAAAAGACACAAGAAGAGTCGTCACGATCGTATAAATATAATATTTAACCTGAACATACAGTTTGTGATTTGTAATTTTAAAAAGCTTATACGAGCGGAATAAATGTTTCTGAAAGAAATCTTTCAATCATCTTTTACTTTCGTCTTAATCACCCCGTGAGAGATTAAAAGGCAAATGAAAGGAGGCCGCGGGTTTAACCAGGCATCTCTAAGACATTATCGCGAACAGACGTCAGTTAGTCGGTGTATAATGTCGTCACAAGACGCGTTGTAAAGGCACACTGTAAAACACGAGCAAAGAGATGGGAGAGAGGAGATGAGATATGAGAGGAAAGAGTGGAAAAAAGAGCGAGAAAGAGGAGCGCAGGTGTGAGAAAAGAGAAGGAACGTGGAGGCACGTTACGCGGCTAATGGTAGCACAATAGGGGATATTATTAGTGCAGCGGCTTAGGAGTGGTCTCTTTGGCGCCACGGAGTTTCATATTACACCTAGTCGTCGTCGTCGTCGTCGTCGTCGTCGTGTCTTCATCGTCGTCGGCGTTCACCTTCTTAATTCCCTACTCGCCTTTACCCTGCGTTTCGATTTTCGAAGGCCCTAACGGGTGTCCTTGGCTCTCCCTCCTACCTTTCTTTCGCCTTACTCTCGGCCCTTAGTCCCACCTCGCAGTGGGTCTCTACTAGCACGTAGATATATACATGTAAATGTGTGTGTGTATATCTTCGTCTTTATTTCTCTTCTTTTCAGAAGCTTTAATGGCGAACTGCGGGTGGTCCAACGTCGACGCTTCGGACTATTGTTACGACTGTGCACAGGGTCACCGGTCGCTGCTTTAACCGATTATACGAGCACGCCTGTATTAAGGTAGCAATAATCGTTGTGTTGCGCCCCAAATCTTGCGACGTATGCGGCGCATTAGGGGGGCGCGACAGCAAGGTGGCTCTAACTTGATACCCTGTGGGCTCGACGTAGTCCATCAAGTTAATGCAATAGCGCCTATAATTGTCTTCTCTACAGGGTGCTCTAAAAGCGTAGATAGATCTATATCACTCTTGACAAAATATTTGTTTATCTGTATCTGTATACTATTCGATATATGATGTATATTCAAAATATATGTAATTTAATATTATGCATCGAAGTCATAGTGATTACTTTTTTTTAAACGATTGATACAATTTTTAGATATAATTCAAAATGACATCGCTTAAAATTTAAAGTAATATTTATTCATACATATATTTACCATGTAAATAACGCTTTCTATATCTCTTACTTTTTTAAAAACAAAGGTTGTTTTGCACATTGTGAGACTTATAGGAATCTTATAGGACATTTTCGACAATTCATCGTATTACTCGCTCCATTCAATGCTAATCTGATTCTTATTATATTGTAATGCCCGTCGAATCGGTCCATCGATTTGAATCGTCAAGAGCACGTGCTTCCTGCTTAACTATCCAATAAAAAAGATCAAAAGAAGAGAAGAAGAAATTCCATTGAAAAAAATAAAACAAAAACTGTGTACACAAAAAATATAAAAGAAACATAAAAATTATATGAAATAAATTATAATATATTTATACCTCATATAGCTATTTATGTATATATCATAATGTAAAAATGATTTATTTCACTTGAAACTTAAAAACGTGTTATTTGTTTAAATTAACAAATATTTGACAGTCTGTGACCGCTACATTTAGTTGAATCAACTAATATTTTTTTTAAACAATTTTTTTCTCATTGTCAGTGTGACGTATATAATAAGTATACAAGATGTAACGAAATAATTGACAGAACATTATTATGCAAAAAATATGAAGCATATCCTTGTATCTTTTTGTGTACAAATTCTTTAAGAAATTACATAATCATCAAGGAAATATCTTTTTCTCTAGTTTCTAGGTGCTTTATCACATGTCATAACCTCGGTCATAACACTCGTTGCACAGAACAATTTTTTTTACATAGCAAGCTTTTTTCTCACGTTTCTTTCTCACTTTAAAAAAAAAAAAAAGAAGAAGAAAAGAAAGAACGATAACACTGCAATATGAACGAAAAGGATTCCATCGTCAAAATACTCAAAATTCTCGGCAGTCAGACGTTTATGGCATTCCGGACTACACCCTGTCGTATCGTTCGTCATCCAACTGCTGGCAGTGATGGTCGCGTGCGCCAAATTACGCCACGGTGTTGAAATTCCACGAACGATTGACCGGCCGGACTGCAATTTATTCCGATAAAGATGCAAAACTATGACATCCGCGCGTCCCACCGTCTTGCGCGACAAATAGCATTCTTGGGGTTTCGCCACGACTAAACCAATAGGCACGAGGGAGCATCCCTTCGTCCTTCAGCTCATCAGTCTCAATTACAGTGGAACTCACCCACGCGATCGACTGTCCGCGTGTAGAATGATAGAGTAAAAACACAAACATCTATGATTCTTATCTATTATATGTACACGTATATACAAATACTGTCAATACTTCTTCAACACACAGTAAAAAATTGTTTATAGGAAATTTTCACAGAAAAACTATGAGTATAATTGATGAATGAATTCTGATATTGAGAATTATGGGATGCTAAAGAAATTATCATTAGCCGAAATTGTACGCATGAATTGGTAAATTTGTAAAGATGAGAGGATTCTGCAATAATAATTTTACGCAGTTACCAATATTATTCCTCGCTGATGTACACGCGCGCAACTAAACGCACGCTGCACATGGCAATATTGCACGCCAGTCGCGTTTAAGTGCCAATTATAAAAGCGTAACAATCTACGATTAAGAAAGCTACGCGTGTTACGCTTTTCAATGGGCCGTAAAATAACCCACGATATCACGGATCGAAACATTACGACTTTCGTATTGCGGCAGATACGTGTGCTTCTCCACAACCACGGAATACTGCTGTTGATAGATACTGATACTGTTGGATGAATATCCAAGTTTCGTATGCATGAGGCATCGTGTTATTATCAATATCCTATTAATAAACGCATAATTAATATTACAAAGTAGTAAGCATTTTCGTTATTAATCAAATAACTTGATACTTCGCTAAAACGAGTTTCAAAAGAAAAAAAATATTCTATTTGCTGTTCTTATTTTCATGTTACTGGTTTTATGCGTATTATATGAAAAATGTCTGTCCTTTGCAGAGTGTTCTACGAAAGGAATACAGTTTGCTATTTCTTTTTCTCTTCTACAAATTTCCGAGTCTTGAGATCGCAGCACGAGATCTAATTAGTATTTGCTAATTATTCATAACCTTGACTGTTAGAAAACTATTTAGATTGAATTTACATGAAAAAATGTTCTAGTTATACCAACAAGAAGTACAAACAAAAACGAATTCTAATCATATGAATTCTGATTATTGTAATTGAATTTTTGATTATCTCGACTGGAAGATTCGATAAATTGAACTATAAGTGTCCGTGTGATTTTGTACCCTTTTGATTGAATCTACCTGAATTCCAATTAATGCAACAAGACTTTCTTTCAGCGTATAAAAAAATATATATCTTAGATAAGATAAATCTATCGTAGGATCTCTCATGCAATATTAACGATACATGCATTACACAATTTTTACTGTGTCAAGACAACGTCTGAAGTAGAATTATATTGTACATATCGCAAGCAATGCGAATAAAACGCAAAACATCAAGAGAATTAAGGTTGAAAGCATAAAGCGCCGTGTGCGACGGAATTCCCGAAGAAAACGTCGTCAGAGGGAATCTCGGAATCCGTTACGTGTGTCGACATAGTCACTACGCGAAATAAGACGAATCCGTCGGCTGATGAGAAGAGCTTTTCCGTCTACCATTGCTCCCCTATCTCGCACAGTTACGTCCTCCTCTCATCCTTCCTCGCGTTCGCGCACTCCCGCCGCCGCCGCGGTATCCCCCATGGCTCCCGTCCCTGTTTCATGGCATCCAGCGTATTGATTCTATAAACTCGTTCGCGAGAGCGATGAGAGCACTCTCCTCTCCCTACTTCCCGTCCTTTCGGTGTCCGCCTCTTCCCTTCCTTCATCGCCGATTCGTTTGACAGAGACAATCTCGCTTAGCGCATCCTCACGATAAGCGGGATTCGCAAATGTCATATATGTGGAATATATTTTTGTGCGGGAATTTCATTTATGAATGGAAAAGGGGAAAAAATGTCGAGAGATGGCCTTCTACCTCAGAAAAAAGCATTCCAAAGGCATTTTCATGTTTGATATATCAATAATGATATTTCAAAAGAGATGTGTAATTAAATACATGTTTAAACATGCCTGACAGATTGCAAACACGCGCTAGCTCGGCAGTAGATCTATCATTATAGATTATTTGAATATTTGTCGCGAGATCAGCAAAAACTGAGAGAATGTAATATACGATTGTAATGAGACCGATTCCATTAGTGACGTCATAACGTCTCTAATGATATAGCTACGTTAGAAAATATGAATTAATTGCAATTAAAACAGTAAATGTATGCATCTATTAAACGTAGTGACGTAATAATATCTATAATAATATACATGTACACAGTTAGATCAGAAAGAATGAGTTAAGTGCAATTAAAATAGTAAACGCACATATTTACTATTTTAATTGCAATTTACTCATGTTTTCTGACTGTACATATATTATTTTATTACGTCACTACAAATCGGTATTATTAGAATAGACAGTCTCTCTCTTAGTTTTTATGCTGATTCCGCGTCAAATATTCAGATCTAATGATAGATCTGCGGAGTATCGAGCTTGCGCGAATATGCAAGCTACCAGACAGACGTGTTTAATTAAGTATATTATCGTGATATTATTATCACGTGAAACTAACTGTAAAATGACATGGAAAAATGCTGTTGAGTAAATTCCGAATATTTATATTTTAAAATTTAAATGTTAGATTATAGGTACTCGGCAATGTGTAATCGGCGCAGTGTGTCAATAAATTTGCAAAATAAGTATACGAAATCGATATTCGATACGATACAAGAATACAAAATCACAGGACACATCGCGTGATTGACGCGCGCTCTGCTGTTTAGATAAGGGCCTGTGTCGTATCAATGTTTATCTGTCCAGAGCATGCACTGATTACGCGGCAACATCAAAAAGTCGATGGCTTTTTCAGTCGTACAAACATAACGACTCGTGAAAATGAAAATATATTGTAGAGATAGCTGCACGTATTATCTGATTATAGAAGATAATGACACATTTACGGCACACGTCAATGGCACGCCGTCTCGTGCCATTATAGAAATTGCCGTTACAGATTGATTATGCCGCACATAATGTCGTTATTAAAAGTTGATTTTAACGATAATTGCGTTTTTACGTGAAAACAGTATTCTCTTGACAAGTACCTTTTTTTTTTTTTACCTTTTTACAAAATTATGACGTTTCCATCTACGGTAAATGCATAACACGTTAGTCCAACCGAGTTATACCGATGAGAAATCGTTGCTTACACGCGATTTAGAAAATTGCGTCTGCAAATTTACGCCGCTAATTGCGTATGAAAAATGAGAAGTGTCTTGTGGATGGTAAATGCATTCGCTGAATTTCACTCGAGATAAACTCCTGTCTACAAATTACGTGCAATGAATCGTGGCGGATATATAAATCTCCGCGCCATCGAATCGCAGCGTAAAACGGAGCAATTTCCGACTACATTATTAGCTATCGTAGCGATTCCTTTTTCCTAGATTTTCTTCTCCATAGCAACTCTATTTTTGTCTCGGGCCATTGGCCGCGCGAGGAATACATTAATCGACAATGCCGCCTAAAAGCAGCCAATTAGTATAATCGTCCGATAAATTCAAATTTAATTGGCCACTACGCTTTCTTTCAATCCGAAAGGTGCTTATCAGTGTGAATGTAATGCATTCATGCGATCTTCTAAATCGCAAAATACACGAGAAAAACCAGATTGTATTATTGGTATCGTTTATCTTGCATCGATTTTATGCAAAATACGATTTTTATTTTAAAGTGGAGTAGCAATTAATTTTACAGACATAATTCCGATCCGCAGAAAATATTTCCAATATTTTATATTATAAATTACAGATAAAATTCAGTGGTGAATTTTAGATTGTCCGAAACTGGTTTGACGCGCGTTTCTCTAGATTCCTGGCTTCCCTGGGACCGAAGTACGGTCGAGGAGGATTCCCTGGTGACATATGCGCGCGAATTCGTCACCGGCAGCCCCTTGAGAACATAACGAGCAACTTTGCCTTCCGCGAATCGAAACTTAAACGAGATTATCGGCCGCTTCTCGAGAAAGGGACGAGTGAATAATTCGACGCAGCCGGTACCGGCCGTATCCAGTCTGCGAAGATGCACGAATTCCTAAGCGCGGGGCAATCGAAGGGGCCGCACGATCTCGACGTTCGAGAGAGAGGGTTTCGTCGCCGGGATTCCAAGCTAATTCGCGGCAACACCACGTGCTAATCCGTCTTAAGTTAATACTGGAGAAGCAATAATCGCCCGGCACGTCTAGAACGACGAATCGATCAATCTGCATCCGGCAATGGCCGCGTTACACGTTGCAAAGCACGAGACGATCTTTCATAGGTAACACGAAACTTATGATGTAATTTTAATGTTGTAGCAAATTTAAGACTACGAAAAAAGTCGAGGAAGTTTTGATTCTTGAAAAACATAATTTATTTTGAGATGGAATAAAACCTTAATTAATTTCCTGAACTGTTAATAATAACTATAAATCTTATTTAATCTCTTTCATATTAATAGTTTTTACTTAAAACCATTGAAAAAGTAATTATTAATGTTCAAAAAAGACTTATATTACATTATATTAATTGTATTATTCCCTGCATTTCAAAAATAATTTAAATAAAAAAAATGTGATTTTCGAGTTATTACTATAAAAGTTAAGTAAATATCCATCAATAATAAAAAATAAACTAATTTTTTATAAAAAATTATACAAAAACTGTCATAACTCAAGCTCAAGAAGATTTTTTTAAAAGACTGAAATGGAAATAATAAAAATTGATCACGTTAAGAATCTTTTCGCTACATATTATTTGATTAGTCAATAATTTTTGTTAAGTTCTAAAATAATTATATTCTCCTTTTCGGAGAAACCTAGTTTCGCTTGAGTTGTGCTAAATACTTATTTTTGAAGTAAGGGAACAATATGTTCATCTGTATATAATGTACTTATATAATGTTTTGTATCTGGAATATTAACAATTGATTATAATGACTTCTGAGATACACCCGCTAAAAAATAAAATCATTCAACAGTAATTTTAACATTGACGTCACGTGTGATAAATGAAAGAGAACTTACCAATGGCGAGTAAAACGCAGAACTATCCATGCCGATACTAGGATAAGGGCCTTGGTCGGTGGTGGAGGGTGTCGGCGTGGGGTAGGAGGAGTAGGAAGTCGCGGTGGGTAGCCGAGGATAAGTGCTCAACGCAAATCGCGCGGCGTTGTCGTATTGGCAGCTGCACACCGTTTGCCCCGTCACAGGGTCCGTCATCATGGGTCTACCATTCTCACAGCAACCAGGTCCGGTGGCGGCACCACCCACGGGGGTCGTAGCACCGCCGGTACCTGCGGGCCCGACCCCCGTCGTCGTTGTCGCCGTCGACGAAGGCGATAGAGCACCCGGGCTCAACGCACCCCCCGACATCGCCGGCGATGTCGCCGTTGTCGGTTGCCCGCCACTCACCAGGAGCTGAAAAACAAAAGGAAAAATACGTCATTAACATAGTATAATTGCGCGCATGCACGATGCGAAGAGGTTCCATACATTTCCTTGTAAAATTAGGAATTAGTTTTTCTAACTTGTCTCAAGCTGACTTTGATATTCGCGCGGACATAGAAACCTCGTCTTCTACACAGAGATTCATTTCACATTCATTAGTTTTCTACGTAGATACATATAAATGACACATAAAATAGCTGTTAGAAAGCATATATGCATTGTCATGATAAGGACATACATATGTACTACATGTGTACATATGGCTAAAAAAAAACGCAAAAGATTTATTTTTTTTGCCAGTATCAACAGTGCCTTCTTTTTTTAGCTAATTTACGTCAGCGACCTTAAAAAATCCAGTATTCACAGATATCGATAATGGTGCCTTTCTTTTGCCAAGGTGGATGGCGAGAAAAAGATTCTACCTGAGATTTTACGGTTTTTTTCTTCTTCTTTGTGTGAAAATTCTATCGATGAACCTTCGATAACCGTCGCCTTTATGTTTACAAACGCATAAGAATATATTATGTAAAAAAGCACAAGATATATATTTCATGATGAATACATCTAATAAGTTTTATCGAAACAATCTCAGTATCTAACGGAGAACGATTATTCCTCCCACGATTAATAGCTTTGTTAAGCTCGTATAAACAGAAAGAGACGTCACTCTCGTGTGCGTGCTCGTAGGGGATCGCGTCGAGGTTGCCTCCCGCTAAATTAGCCCATTGTAAATGAGAACGGAATGAATCCCGGTAATTAATATGGCAAGGGCGCGGAGTTATTTCGAGAGGACGGGAGACTCGAGAGCCGCGCCGCGACGAGTCAGGTTGTATATCTACGTTGATAAAGCCTTCTCTCCGACAGCTCTCCCGCATTCCGTTACATACGGAAGAGCGAAGGAGAGAGCCCGGAAAACGACACACTCTCTCCCTCGTATGTATATACCTTTCTATTCGTAGACCGTGTCGAAATCACCCACGAAAACGCCCACGGATCGTTGCGGCGCGCGCGTGACGAATAGAATCGACGAGAACTTTATTCCCGCAAACGATTCTCCTTCGCGTTTTAGCGTTTCACCTCTCTCGTGAATTATTAAAAGCCCCGGCGCGGCGCCGCTTATCAATTTCAAAGTCAGCGCGTTTACAAAAATATGGTGACTCGCGCGCGGCCAAGTTTTTATATATCATACACCGATGGAAATCTCTACGTTTCTCGCACGATAAAATACATAACTAGTGTGTCTCGGTCGTTAAGCGATAGCGCGGGGGACGCGATTCACTGCGATCTCCTCTGTTTGCTCGAAAGATCAACCGAATACAAGAATAAAGATTATTGGATATAGTTGTGTGAAGTCAGCTAGGAATAGGTACAGAATCTAAATGATACTAACCCGGCAAACAAGCTGACGTTATTTATCATCATTTTGATGTCTTTAACGTCAAAATAGTGTCAAAATAACGATAAATAACAGCTGTTCGCTGGGGTACGACATCATCATGACTTCCTTTGTCACTTATAAGTAAACTTGCAAATGACAAATAGGAGCATTTTCCAAGAATAGAGTGTAACACAGTGAATCATTACATTCTTGTTGTTTGCCAATGTTAAACAAGAATACAATGTAACAGTGAAATGATTCGTCGTATTATTACAATGTGTCCTTCTGGCTGGAAAACATCCAAGATCATGCTGACTTACGATAGAGTGCTTTCCAGGAAGCAACACAGATGATGCAGTGTAACACAGTAAATCAATACATCCTTGTTGTTTGCCAATGTTAAACATGAAATAATTCACTGTGTTACATCGTGTATGGAAAACAATACTAAGACTTCTACCTAGAGACTTTTTTTTCTGAAAAACGTATAAAGGAATTTACAAAGATGCTCGATATAGCATTCGGCTGCCCTGTTTATGCCTCGAATTACGCGGTTTCAATGATTTCCATAATTATCTCGATCTACAATGAACCATCTGCATAACTATCTTCGTGAGAAAATTCGAGAAGTCGCTTCCGCAACATTGAGCGATTTCCGGCTCACGCGCGCTGTTTACAATCTTGTGCTCATCGATTTTCCGTGAGCGTGCGTCAATACGCTCGCGTATTTTCACAAGAAATATCACGGGAATCCACGCCGTTGCAAAAATAGAAGGGGGCGAAAGGGACGGCGTGGCGCGTCGCATCGCGGGATCCGCAGCGAAACTACCGAAAGAACGAGGTAAACCGAACTTTCGTGAACAAAGACCCCGCGCACTTTCGTCGTGGTGGTATAATAGTGGTGGTGGTGGTGTAACGGCGATGTGGCGGCGGACTTCGGGGACACGCTATGCGCGCGCGCACGTGTGTTCCCGTTCACGCATAACAACACGCGACACGTGTGTGTGTCTATGTGCACTCGTAGTCTCTCCCTCTCTCGGCCCTCGTCTCTCTCCCGCTCTTTTTCTCCTTGCTTCTAACGAAACGTTCCGGGCACCTCCAGCGTGTCTGGAGCCATTCACGCCCTGCTGGGTTTCCCACCGGAACCTTTTAAGACCCCACTTTCACCCCCGCAGCAGCCGCCGGCACGAAAACCCTTCGGATCTCGTGGCGCAGGAAGAGTCGCCGTGATATGGTCCTATCCCACCTCTGCTTCTTATGCTCCACCTTGTCACCGATCGTTTCGCAACGCGCTCGTTGGCAACCCCTCGAGTAACCAAACGTGTCGGATTTTGTACGAATCCTGATACGAGCGCTATCAGAATTTTCTCTTCAGGTCTGTATACTACTAGTATAATAGTAGTTTTAGCATAGTAGTTTTTTTTAAATAATTGCTAATACGTGACGAGAAAATAATTCCAAGAATATATATATTTTATAAACACGTGAGTGCACTATACTGGTTGTATTTATCCGTAAAATTGTCTAGAGAAAGCAAAAATACTCTTGAATTCTTTTATTTCTTCATATTTGTGGTTTGTATAATAACATCCGCGAAAAGACTTAAACAGCAAGAATACTTAGATTCCTTTACTGCTTGATATTTGCGGTTAGTATCGCTGCTCAAGTAAGTTTCTACTTCTTATGAAAAAAGGTACGAGTGGCGAAAGCTCGCTTATTTGATGTCTGGAAAATGGCGGCTATTATCGGCATAATTTCTATAGAGCGGTGTGCATTATGCCGTCTCGCTTGGCCGCGATCTAACGTTAATTTTTACGTGTGGAAAGCTATGTCGCCAAAGTTTCTTGAAATTTGTAAATGACGGTTAAACGAGTAATCGTTGATACGTTCAATTTTTCTCAAATTTAAATCGAATAATTCAACACACAGAGAAACTTCGTCATAAATATATTACATTTAGAAACAGAAATAAAAGTATGCATGTAGATGAACAGTGCTAATAAATTTTACATTTTTAATACGAAATATAAAATGTTGTTTTCAATTTAAACGGTTTTTTTTATTTAAATCGTGCTTAAATCGATCGTACAAATGGCGTACGTTAAATTGTTATCATCGCATGATCGATAATTTTCATTATCGCAAAAGAAAAAGAAAATACCTGAAATGAGCGGCATCTTCTAAGAATAATAAGTCAGTGTCACCTATCACGATGATTAATCGAGAGATAGTCCACCAATATAATACCTTGCGAAATTGACAAGATTCGTCACTTTGTCAAGATAGAAAGCATTCTCACTTGCAGCTTTCACCATGTATAACTTAAGTAGCGATTTTTGTAGCGACAGAGCGACACAATCGATGAAAAGTTGAGTTCAAAAGTTTTTATTTTACTACACTCGCGCTGTAAAAAGTTTTACAACGAAATATATTACGTGCAAACTGCTTCCTTGTTAATTAATTAATTTGCACGCCTATCGAAACTTTACTATAGTTTGAAATTGTTTTATTTAATTTTCCTCACATATTCCTACTCTCATTTAACCGTTTAACAGTTTATATCTTTAATATATAAAAATTGTATCACTGCGAGTTTACATTGTATGCGACTGTGGATGCTTTTCATTTAGTGATGCAAGTATCATTCTATCTTTTTTTGGCATTCAGTGAAATAACAAAGATAGAACGACGTTTGTGTTGACTTGTCACCAAATGGAAAGCACCCTTTGTGAATACGCATGACCATCCACACGTGCGAACCAAGGGGACTGAATGAAAACCCAGAGAAGCCGAAATCCTCTAAGAAACAGACCTCCTACGTATATCGTTACAATATATCGGCCTGTATAAACAGGATTACATTTGTCCGAGTGAAACTATATAGTGCTTGAGTTAATCATGTGTCATCGACAGCATTTACGAGAAAATAATTGACACGTAACGTCGAGTTATGTTTCTAATCAACTACTAAATACTTGTCTAATCTATTAATACTGGAAGTAGATATTGAGAATTATTATTGACTGTTTCTATTTTATTAGATCAATATTATATAATATTTTTTGTTTAATAGATTTTGAAATATTTTGACTTTTCAATAATTACGTATTTACACTGATAAAATATTTGACTTTTCATCACCATTTTTCCTTAGTAATTTATTTGCTTGTTCCTTTTAGTGAGTAAGAAAATAAAATATTGTAGTGTTAATGAATTGCGATACAAAATTGCAGTAAATATAGGAACTTATTTTTCTTTTCATTTGAAGTAATTTTAGATTTATGTCTTTCAACCAATGTTTCGCCAACCAATTTTGGCTCGAATCATATTATTTTCAGTTGGGTTCTTAAAAGACGAACGTTCGTAAATTTATTACGACGGACTGGCAGCCATCAATTACGTGGACGCAGTTTATACTGAAAAGATGGCGACAGGAAAGGTTGAGTTGTGCGGCTTATCTTTTCTGCTTGCCTTCCTTCCCTCAGAGACCACTTCTTCCTCACGCCGCAGCTTCTCTCTTTCTTTCTCTCTTTCATGTCACGCCATCATGTATCTTTTTCTCTTCACCGGAATCACAACCATCACGAAAGCA